TATTATCAGTTATTATATAGGTACCTACTTAGATACTATGTTGGTTAACGTATTATTGTTTAAAATTTAAATAATATCTACCACCGACTTGATAGGTACCTCTACGGGTCTACCTAATTATTAAACGCTGTCTTCTGTAGTTACTAGTTCTGTAAGAATATATTTTCACGTTTCACAAGAAAATAAAAATAAAACATGTTTAAATCGATAGGTATATAAACATATAATAATATAATTAGTAGATTTAATATTTTTTTTTTGTTACCCGACTACTGTTAGTAATAAGTCATTGTCACATATTAGTATCATTACTAGTAAAAATTTTGTTCATTATTTACCTATGTGCATAAATAAGGTAGGTACCCTATCTATAATATTTCATTGATCATTTGGATACCTAGAATAAAACTAAATAAATATCTAGGTAATTTATATATATATATATATATATATATATATACATATATTTATAAAACAGAATTACCTAATTTGTTATTTCGAATTTATGTTTATAAACATATAAATATCATTTATTATCTTACCTATTAATTATTATAATTGTTTTTTAAGTTCATAGATTTACTTGCTGAATTAGTGAAATTATAGTTAAAACTTAAAAGTACCTATTATAGTATAGGTATGCTAGGTATGGATTACGTAGTTTCATAAACATTTTGAAATAATTTTACATGGTTTACAATTTATTTTCACCTCCTGATAGGTATAATTTTAAGCTTATTAATCTCGTGGCCTCATAAATACTCTATTATACATTATTCGTTTCTTTTAATATGTAGGTACTTAGTCGTTATACTTATCTTTCTTTTGTATCATCTATCATTGAGATTATTAATTCATCCTGTCTATCTATATTTTGTTGATATTGTTGATAAATAGGGTTTTACCTATTATAATATATTAAAACACATCCACATTAATTTGATTTTAATATTTTGTCATGATTTATAAATTATGGGTGTAGGTTACCTACTGTATAAGTACCTATCTAATATTTATTTAAATATTTATAGTACGATCAAAAAAGTATAGGTATAACCATTGATTTTAGAATATTTTATTTTAGTTTATTCTAAAATCAATAGTATAACTTAAATTTGGTTATAGACAACTGACTTAATAAAATTACATTCCTATCTATATATTTACCTAGAGTTCTATAAGTGGTATCAATTTCTCTAAATAACAGAAATGTATCTACTTTTGATTATATGTCTATATTAGATATAATATTTATTTATATTATTTCTTTGAAAGTGTATCTAATTAGTATCTATCTATTGCTATACCTGAAGTTTCTATTTAGGTACTTAAATTAATGACATATTACATAGATAGTTGATAAGTATACCTTGTTGGTTTATACTAAACCATTCTACTACACATGAATACTGAACAGTAAAATAAGGTTAGTTGTATAATAAAATCTAACTAAGAATTATAATAAAAAGTCCAACAATAATAATATTTCTATACTTAGGTGCGTAAAGTAGAATTACTAGATAGGTTACTTATACACAATTCACACGATGTTCATTTTTTATATCACTTATATTGCATGTTTAATTAAATATAATAAATTAATTGATAGTTAAATAAAATATTATAATATATTAGATATATACAATTAATTTAAACTTAATTTAATTTAATTTTTGGTTAAGTGTATTCACAGGTATTTATTCGTATTATTACGAGTTATCGCAAAACTAAACTAAAAAAGCCAGCTAGTAGGTATCTGTTTAGTTGTGTGTATAAGTCATAGAAGGGCAGTTACTCCTGTTCGTTTAAGTAGGTGCATTGAGTTTAGATTGTTATTGTGTAGACTGTAGATCAATATAATTTAGATTGTAATGAATACAGAGTTCAATTTGAATTTAATGATAAATCATCGCTTACTAAAAATGTTTCTATATGGAGACAGTCTGTTACTAAATTTCATTATAAATGTATACTGTTATTATTGTAATTTATTTAACTATTAGTAATATAGTAGTTACAATTAATTATTACCAAAAATATTGTATTTATATTTTATTATATTCATGTTGTATAATTGATATATAAACTATAATAGCAATGACAAGTATTCGTATATTATATCATGTAATTTACCTGACTCGTAGCTGTATTATTATTATGCTGTGGTTTAAATGAAGTAATACAAATTAGAAAATTTCTATATACTCAAATCCAAATAAACACAACTTTTATATAATATCTTGTTAGAAACAGAGGCTCATTTGTTGCTCATAAAATCCGGTGTTGCTGATGTTGATGTGGCTGGTGCACAGGTATAGGTTAAAAAGATGACATGGTCAAGTCGATCAGGGTAGCTAAAGGCTTCATTAAAGGCATCTGTGTTTTCAAGAATCTAACTTTCTCTTTGGTGGCAAAGATCCTTATTTCGCCATCCCTTGTTTCCGGTGGCACACGAGAAAATCACACCTCTGTATAATATATTCATTTATAACAATTAAACACAGTATTTGTGTTATCTCATGTGTTGTTTTTAATTTTAAACGAAGTCGCGAGAATTTTTAAATTGTAATATTTTACATACTTACTAAAAATCCATGAGAAAATATAGACAATGTTTCCATTTTTAAGTTTTGCAAATAGATCAATTTATTATTAAAAGTTACTACATCCGAATAGAAATTTTTTTAAAAGTTTTGTAAAACGTTGCAGGATATAGACAAAATACATAATTGGGGAAAGGGTGGCTTTATATTAAGCAGTCTTAAATATTTAAGTGCATTTATTATTTTATTATATTGTTTATTTAATATATTATAAGATGTATATAAAAAAAAATAGTTAAAAGTTGTATTTGAACGCACAACTATCTTAGAAAAAACCAATAGATGGCGCTTAAGTATTGAATTTGAAATTACTTGCAGATTAGCCAGGTACAACAGTGTAGTATATTATAATAGGGTCTGCGGTTAAATAGTTTAATTTAATCAAGGCATTTAATGCCTATAACCTAAATACTTAATAAATCAATATAAAATGTTGGAAAACAATTTTTTAAGTAGCATATATATATAACATCTAAAAGTTTCACGTAGATTTCTATTTTTTGTGGGTTAAAAAGTGAATATTAACTCGAAGATTCAAGATCATTAATTTAAATACTATAATAAACACATTACACATTAAAATTGTAATAAATTTAATAAAGACATTTTTGAAATCAGGATAACATTAGTTTATGAGAATTTACGAAATATACTTCTTCTTTCTTAGTTTGTCAATTCATTGTAAGTCATTGGTGCCATTTTCTATGAATTGTGTTCAATGTTATAAGAAATTACATTCAGCTTGTAAATCTTGAGTTAGCTGTTTTTTAATTTTTTTCTTCATCAATGCTTATTTTATCAATTCCATTAACATCAGTTTTCCATAGGTACATGTCTATATATTATAGAAGTCTTGAATTATAACCTAACTTCGTGTTATAGTTTGGTAAATTACATTTCATAGTTGGTACATTTCTTTCAAAAGTAATTAGTCCTATACTATTTATTTTATTTTTATTTTTCATAATATACCAACATCAGGTATCTACTTGATGCTATTAAAATTACCAGTTTCCTACATACCTTCAATTTTTGTCTATCATTTATATTTTTGATTGCTTCTATAGTGCTCATTAAATATAATGTAGAATGAAAAATGTATGTAGTGATCGCTGTGCAGAAAACTGCAATTTTTATTCATTAATTATTTAACGCATTGTACGTTCATGGTTTGTTTAAGATGGTTGTGAGAAGATAGGTAGTTAATAAATAGAACACTTGAAATATTTTGAAGTAAAGTACTAATAAGTTACAATAATTTATTAATAATTTAAACAATAAATAAAATAAAAATAGTGAAATGCTATGAAAAAGTTACTAGTACTGAGAATAACTAAGTACTTGCGGCGATGTGGCTGTCCACGACGAGCAATAGTCTTATAAAAAGGGTGAATAAGGCAGTCTAGCACTGTGATTATCTTCTGAACATGATTAGGTGCTCAAATTTTATTTATACGAGTCCTATAAATGATATATAGTGATGTAATGGCCAATATTTAATTATGTAAATCAGTAAAAATAACACGTTGTTTCCACCTTTGACCTAGGTTTTCCGTATTTTAGGTTGTGTACATGTCATGTACTAATTATTAATGCCTCATAAAATAAACCGCTTATTTAATTTATCATATATATTACATTTTAAAATAATTATTTTGGTATTTAAAATTACCTCATGTATCTTATGGTCAAAAATCTTACTTCGTCTCGAAAGCTTTTGACATATTAATATATATCTTGCAAGACTCTTTTTCCGTTTTAAAGAATTTTAGTTAATATTATGTAATGTATAATTTAAAATATTTTTTGAATAATAAAAATACTGAAATAGTTTATATGTAGTATTAATACATACAATTTGTTATGTTTAATAATAATGATGTATGTCTATATTGGCTATTGCTATTATTTACTTTAAATGTCTATTTATTTTAAGCATGTTATATATTTCTACAATATAAAGTTTACATAAATATATGTCGAGTGAAATAAGACTTGATGTACTTCCATTATTATCACGCTACACATTTATTATTGATATAATATAGATTTAGAATTTTATTTTTACATAAATGGACGTTTCAATTTTTTTAATATCGGATAACATATAACTTTCGATAAAACGCGTATATCATGAACCGCTCAAAACACATACTTACGTATATTATACCTGGGCAATACATTATTATTGTTATTATTATTATTATTATTATTATTATTATTTTTATTTATTTTAGACATTTTAGCTGCCATAGATTTACTAACATCGAACATTACGTAAAATAATACTTTACGTAACTCAATCGCTATGCAAATAAAAAAAACAATTTACATATACAATTTACTTCGCACCTATACGTTTTTTGTTTCTTTTCGTACAATATTTAGTCGTAGAAGATGGAAGAAATTGTTGTACAGGACTTGGAATTGAAGTCACTGATCGGCTTCGACGGAAATCCGTCGAACGGTTTGATATTGCATCCGGACGGCGTTCACCTGATTTATCCACTCGGCACCAACGTGACCGCGTACAATTGGTCCACCAAGGGGCAGCGGTTCTTCGTGGGGCTGACCAACATCATATCGGCGGTGGCCGTATCCAACACCGGAAAATACGTGGCCGCCGGCCAGGTGAACTACATGGGTTTCAGATCGCCGATTATCATATGGCACTTTCAGACTGGCGACGTGTTGACGAACTACGAGTCGCACATGGTTCGCGTCGAATCGGTGACGTTCTCTTGCTGCGAACAGTACTTGATATCGCTGGGCGGCATCGACGACGGCTCCATCATCGTGTACGAGATCGACAAAAAAGAGGTGCTGTGCGGCTCGTCGTCGGTGAAGTCGACCGCCGGCATATCGACCGTGATCAAGGCGGTGAACTCGCGGAACCGGTGCTTCGTGGTGGCCGGCGACAACATGCTGCGGCTGTGGACGTTGAACAGGGAACAGAGGAACCTGCAGGGGCTGGACACGTCGTTCGCCAAGATCAAGCGGAGGATCTTGTGCACGGCAATCGACCGCCTGGACGAGTACGCGTACTGCGGCACCAGCACCGGGGACGTGCTCAAGGTGAAGCTGAACTTTCCCGCGGACGCGACCGCGCAGAAACCTTCCGCGTCGCCGACTCTGGTCGGCTGCTTCGCCAAGTATCCGGCCGCCGGCAAGAAGCGGCCGGCCGGCGTCACCGTGGAACTGTACAGCAAGGGCGTGACGTCGCTGCAGCTTTACGGGGACGACGGGACCATGATCGTGGGATCGGGCAACGGCGTCGTGGAACTGGTCCGGCAAAAGGCGCAGCAGAAGCGGTGCGGCTACGGCCAGATGGCCGAGAAGCGGCTGGCCTCGCCCACGCACCCGCTGCTGGTGGCCGTGCTGTCGGCGGACGTCGAGTCGACCGTGACCAGCATACAGTCGATGGGCGACCACACCGTGCTGGTGGGCACCATAAACTGCGAGCTGTTCGCCGTCAGCGCGGCCACGTTCGCGGTGACCCGCATGTTCACGTGTCACACGTCCGCCGTCCACGACCTGGCGTTCCCGCGGGACTACAGCAAGGTGTTCGCGACCGCCAGCAGGAACGACGTGCGCGTCTGGTCGGTGGACACGCTCCAGGAACTGCTCCGGGTCACCGTCCGGAACTGCACGTGTTCCGGCGTGGTGTTCTCGCACGACGGCGCGCAGATCATTAGCTCCTGGAACGACGGCCGCATCCGGTCCTTCACGCCCGAGACCGGCCGGCCGCTGTACACCATACACAACTGCCACAACAACGGCGTGTCGGCCATAGCCATGTGCAAGGACGGCGTGAAGCTGATCAGCGGCGGCGGCGACGGACAGGTGCGCGTGTGGCAGTTGAACGGCACCGACGGCATACTGCTCGCGGTGCTCAAGGAGCACAAGGGCGCCGTCACGTCCATCGACCTGCACCAGCTGGGCCACGAGGCGATCACGTCCAGCGCGGACGGCACGTGCATCGTCTGGGACATTGTCCGGTACACGCGGCTGTCGATAATGTTCTCGTCCACAGTGTTCACGAGCGCCATGTACCACCCGAATGCTTCCCAGCTGCTGACGAGTGGCACGAACCGGTACATCGGATTTTGGGAGGCGCTCGACGGGTCGTTAATCCGTGAGATCGAGGGGTCCGCCGTGGCTGCGATCAATTCTCTGGACATCACGCCCACAGGTTCGTTTGCCGTCCGTCAGAGAGGGGAGGGGGGCGATATTGACGAAAAAACAAAAAACGCATAATATGTTATTTTAGCGACGACCTAGTAGTAGTTATACAGTTCGGTGGGTGCAAGCATCGATCGTGGTTTATGGTATACGCGAATATAGGAGACAATTTTTTTTATTAGTTTTCGAGTTTTCAATGGTAAGGGGGAAATTCGTGGAATTTCTTATGGTGTATTGTCATACGTTTTTTATTTTATAGTGATTTTAATTTATTTCAACGAAACAAAACGCTATTACTGCGGATATAAATGGTTTAAAATATAGTAATTAATCGAGAAAAAAACCATTAAGTATAGAATATAGTGATCAGATCGATGTGGATAATTTAAAATTTTTGAATTTAATATTATTTTATGTGTTATAATGTTAGTTAAAAATCAGAATAACCTATGTAAATTAAGTTATTTATTAAATGGTTAAAACTAAGTTTTTTAAAATAATATTAATAAATATTATTATTATATTATGTTGTATTATTTGTATAAAAATATTTTGTTAAATTCAGTTATTCAATTATATTCTTTTTCTGAGTATCATTATTTAGATTTTTCTTCTTTGATTCACTATTTTGTGGCTTTAGTATTTGTTATGGCCGTCGACCGATATAACACGCAATGTATAGAATGTTCCGAAAGTTTCGTATCCATCCTAAAGCTATATTATAGAAAATCAATATAATTTAATTTGATTTTGTGATTAAACCGTTGAAAATATTTCATTTTTTAAGGCGATTTATTTTTTAAATTAAAAAAAAAAAATACTCTGAAAGCTTTCCTAGTAAGTTAATTTAGACTTGCAAATAATTATGTCGAAATCAGTATTATATAAGATAATTAATTTATTTTAATGCAATCCATTTTAGTTTTTTTTGCTTACAAAAATTGTTATTCTCAAGAATAATAAATCTTTAACCTGCTCTTGTAACATGATCAATTTTTACTAAATTTTTTATATTTTTACAACAAATGTGATTAAAATATTAGTTTTCATGAAAGTGTAAAAAATTTGATGTTGCACAAACAATTTTATTTTTTTAAATTTATATCTCCAAATTGGAATTTTCACATGCGTAGATCATTCTTTATAATGTCACATATTTATGTCAGTTGCCCGAGGGCGGCGATACAGGGCTTTTGGGATTTACTTTAGTAGTTATACCTAGAATAATACAATAATTGTGGTGTGCTGTATGCAGGCAAGTACTTCGTGACTGGTAGTTCGGATCAGACGGTTAAGGTTTGGCTGTACAACGAGGGGGTGCCCACACACGTGGGCGTTGGCCACGCGGGTGTTGTGACCAACGTGAGGGTGAGTCCGGATGGCCGGTACTTGGTGAGCACGAGCGTGGACGGCGGCATATTCTTGTGGCGTTTCCCGTACGACCGGGAGGCTGTGCCGCCCAGCAGCCGGTGCTCGACGGCCAGCGGTGTGAGCGCAGGTGAACAGCAGACGGCTCGGTCACGGCAGCTGTCACTTAAGAAGTCGATGCCGGTCCGAAAAGAAAACATTTCCGACATATCGTCGGCGCAGAAGGTGATGTCCGTGTTGGTGAACGGCGGGGCCGTTGGCGACGGTGATGCGGGTGCCCGCGATGGCAGCAGCAGTAAGAAAATTTGCAAACCGTCGACGTCCGTCCAATGATGGGGCCGGTTTTGAGTTTTGTCAACACCACAAGGGACAGTGTTGTTTTTGTTTCCTCATCCGACGTGTCATTTTGCTTTGTGTTTACTCCTCCTCCACCTTCTTGACCGATAAGTGGATCTTCCGGTTCAACTTTTTGCAAAATATTATCACTGCTAATCGCCATGTAGCTTTCATTTCTTAGCAATTGTATTTTTTGTCGTACATTTCTATCACAATCCATAATATTATAATAATATTGTATAAACAACAAACGGAATTAAAATGTTTAATTTTGGTACATAGTGGTTAAATTATTGACCCTATAAAGAAATTAATTGATAGTCGAGAGTTTGAGGGAAAGATCATGGGGCTATTATTATTTTAAAAATATATCATAATATAAGTATACAACTTAGTCCATAAGTATCCATTTAAATTGTGAGGATGAGAGAAGATTAATAACAAAGATAACAATAATTTTAGAAAATAATATAGCATATATTTTGTCTTTATTGTATGTACGGGTATTGGCAATCTATTTTTTAACAATGTTGACATTAGAAAATCTATGACAGGGTGTGAGGTACGCGTAGTCTATGTATAAACATGGCTATATGAGTTGAATATGTGCGTGTGTATAAACTGTATGATATATATATAGTCAAAATAGTGACTTGTATGGATTAGAGGATAATACCTTCTTCAAATACCCACATTAATTGATACTTAACACTTTACGATACAGCTATCGTTAAAACTGTCATTTTTTAAAAATGAATATTTATTTCTAAAAATGAAAATTGCCATTATTACTATTAATCTTAATTTAAGAATATGTTTATCGGTAATTTAACTGTACTATGAAACAAATAATAAGACTTGTGTAATGCAAAATATTTAAAAACATTACATTGCTATAATTATACAATAATACATTTAACCTAAATATTTCTAGCTAATACGATTGAGTATAAGAGTACCTAGTATATAAATTAATGGCCAATACTTAAATAGGAATATATCGTTCATAAATATAGTTTCTGATTTATTATTTTAAGATTTATTTGTAATATAGCTCTATAGCTGTAGTCAAATAATCGATAAAAAGACGTCCTTCTTAAAAATTTATATATTCTTAACTTCAATACTTTGGAAAGTAAGATTTATTTTAAGATAAAGTGTACTTAATTGTGCAAAATTTAAGGAATCTATTATAATGTTATATAATATGTAATGCAATTTAAAAAAAGGTAAGCAAGTGGTACCTACTCTGCTGTAAATTAGGTGCCGATCGGGTCACTTCGTAGGTGTGTTATATTTGAATTAAATGATAGATAAATGTATTTTTGTATACAAAAACGATTTTGAGCGGAGACGGTTTGTCAACTTAAATCATTAAGTATATTTCATAATACTTTCTTTTTTTTTTTGATACCTATAACTAAGGAACGGATTTTATTGTAATAAACAAATCAAAATTTGTAAATATATGTGAATATCGAAAAAATGTATTAGTATTGAAAATTACGAAAAAAAAAAAAAAATAAATATTTTATTAAAAAAGTAATACAAACGTTGTAGATATATAAAATTATGAGTATTATTCCGGAACAAAGTAATAAGAAACCATATATTTTTCAAGGTTTGTAAATGAAAAATTGCGACGGTTTAGTCGGAGAATACTTTTGTATTGATTAAAAGACCGTTCTACGTCAACAAATTTGATAGTGGCGTAATTCATGTTTACTATATCACAAGGAGTGAATTTAATGTCCAGAGATTCTTGTTGATTTTTACCAATTAAAATATCTGTGATGATTTTAATAGTTTGAAATCCAGAACTTTTTAAAATTATATTGGCAAATTTGTTTTTGACTATTTCTCCTATGTGCCCTTGAGTTTTTTCTAATTTATCTGAACATTTTTCTGCGATGTTAATACTTTTTATCAAAGACATGTTTTAGTTTTTAATTGTTTAATTGTCAGAATTAAAAACAAAAAATTGCAGAAATGTGTGTCAAGTTGTATTTCAAATTGATATTTTACATCAGTGAATTTTCTTTTCAATTGCTGCGGTCGATTCAGTATCCCATTTAGATAACATATAATATTTGGTGTTTGTCAAAAATTGCTAATCTTGTTAATTTAGACGAAGCAGATAATGTTTATGATTTTTGAAAATTAATGAAAAAATCGAAAATTACTAAAATGTTTACAAAATATTTACTTATTTTATCAAATATGTAAAAATATGTTTAATAAATTTGGGTTTATTTTAATTAGAATGATCTAAATCGTATACATTTTTTATCGATTTAAAATGTTTCATTCCAATAAAAATATGTATTTAAAATAAGATCCGTTCCCTATCTATAACTATTAAAGTTATTATTTAACTTTTAGTATTATTACGGTAGGTTTACATAATTTTTTCCGTAAATATTGAATTTATTATATTATTAGTATTTAATCATTATAATATTAAATATTTTTACCATATTATAATATGATCCTATAAAACTGAAAATTTTAATAGCATATTTTTGTAAATACCGTAAAACAATAAAAATCGTTCCACTGAAAAAATCGATAATATCTAGAAATAAATAAAAAAAATGTCATTGCTTATAGTAAAATTTATAATAATATAAACGTCAAAGATTTAAGCTCCCACAACTAATGTGCTTGAATTATAAAAAAATTAGTTATTTCGATATTTATTATTTAAATACGTTATTTTGTCCAAATTTGAACTTACAATGTGTATAAAAAATTATCATCTTAATATTTATTTCATTTTTTTTTTTTATTATATGGTTTTAACATAAAATGCTTATAAGGAATATTGTATTAAATTTTTAAAACTTAGATGTAAAAACAAACATTTTTATGAATATCTAACAACAAAATAATTTGTAAATTTTTGAGATTTTGACCTAATTTTCAATGCTTATAAAAAAATAAAAAATAAAGTGATTATGGATTTATAATATTATTTTACTGATTATAATCAATTTATGAGAACATTTGTTAATAAGTTTTCAAATATTTCTTCACTGTGAATAATTTTTAATCAACATTTATGGAAAAAAACTAGAAAAAGTTGGAAATTTCTTAAGCCAATAGTCTATTATAGAGTATACTTGTAGGCTATAAGTAGATAAAAAAATAATTGAAATATTTTGTAATGTTATTGTAAATAGAAAGTGATCTAATAAAAATTTAATGTTTTTATGGTCATTTTCGTGGTTATTAACAATTTTATCATTATATGACTAAATTTTGGTGAAAATTGAAAGTATCTACATATATATATATATATATTTGAGTTAAACATGAAAAAAAATGGATTTTGTTAAAAATTGGATTTGCATAAAAATTCTCGTTTTCCCTTATTATTTTTTTTTCTTAATTATAAAATAATAACTGAGTAATTTTTAATTTTTACTCAAAGTACCGACTAGATTCAAATTGCTATCAGAAACTATCCTTTTTTATGAAAATCATTAAACTTCCCAAACGATCATAAGTTATAACAGACAGAAAAACTTACATTATTGTAATATCAATATATTCACTGCTCAGAATCTAAAAAAAAAAAAAAAATATTTAAAAAATATTTTAATATAAAATAAAAAATATATTTAAAATATTTTAATATCTAAAAGTGATATTAGATACAATTAATATATTTAAATAAGTATAAATTAAAACAAATTTTAGGCTAAATAAACTATTTACAGTAAGAAAATATTAAGACCAACAATTTTTTAAATTTAATATACTGGAGGATCTGCAGTTTACTAATTTTCACCAAATTATAATACATAATGTATTTAATTCCCTGTGTTTATTTATTAAGATTAAAAATTGTAGACAAAGCCATTGTATTGATCATTTCACTTTTTCGATAATTTCAATTTAAGAAAATGCCTTTGAAAATAAATTAATTATACACAGTACGAGTACAATGTACTCAGTACATATTCCTTTTTAACAAAAGCAATGCCTAATTTAATTTACTAGGTTTTTGAAGTACTATTAAAAACTAAACAGATCATTTAATTTTTTTTTTTTGAAACAATTTAACTAGTTTGAAAATTTTTATTATAGAATGAAAAATAAGCACACTTTTTACGCATGCCATATGTTTTTTGTAAATATTATATTCTATAAGTGAACCAGCTGTTGAAAAATGCCTAGAATAATTTTCAGTTGTATTATTTCGATAGTTTTTATTACAAATAAAAAACGCATAGCTCTGCAGCAGCGAATGATGATGAATGTGAACTATTGCATTATTTAGTCCTCGATTTGAAAAAGCGTCGGTAAACACAACTGTATGACTTATAAGTATCATCAACTTCACTGTTGAAATAACATTCATGACAAATTTTATTCCATATAGCTTTACATTTACGTTCCATTAAGTTAAAAAAAAGAAAGAAAAATGTGAAACTTCGTGGGTTGCGCGTTTAAATAAACTTTTTTTCAATAAGCTTACAAAAAATAAAATAAACAAAGAAAATAGTTAGATAGGTATTAAGAAATTGATCATGGATAAATTTATTTTAACTTGAGTTCTATTTTGGAATAACTGAATATATTTTACAATTTATTTAACACTTATAATAATCATAAGTATTAAATATACTATTTATATGTTAGATAGTAAATAACGATTATAAATAAATATTATGAGTACTCGTAAATTATAAACTTTGCCACATATTACAATACGTTTAGTACAACAATGCGGTCACAACGTTACTACTTTCACATGTATCTCGTTGTTTATACTACCTACGTCCTACACAGTACACATAAATATTTATTATGATAAAAAATGTATTTATTTTTATCATATATAATAGGTACCTAACTTTTAAAGTTTCCATTAATTATAATTAATGACTATAATTACAAGATGATAATCTAAGAAGAAAAACATTCAAATTATTTAAAATTTTTATAGAAATATTGTTTATTTTCTCAGTTAAAATAATGCTCTATAATAT